TTTAAACGCTTTTCCCACATCACCAACTAAATGTATCTTAGGAGAAAGTGGCTTACGATCAATAAAGGAAAGAATTTACGAAAAAACGATACAACTTCTTCCAAAAATACTTAATTCTCCAAACACTGGCATTCAGAAATGTATAATACTTGCAGCTAAACACAAAAGGAATTTTCAACTCAAGTCTACCCTTCGTCGCTGTCTTCAGTTTGCAAAAACTTTAAACATTCATATCCCATCAAAATTTTATACAACCAACACTCAACCTGAATGGCTGATTAGTGATGTTTCAATAGATACATCTCTACATAATTTCAAAAAATCCAACACCAGTAGGACAGTTTTTCAACAAAACTGCTTAGAAGTAACCAACGTCTATATGAATAAAAAATTTAAAGAAATTTTCACAGACGCGTGAAAATTAACTAATACTGCCTATGCTGTTACCACAGCTAACGGGACAACTATTACTGGCGGAATCCTTCCATCATATTCGTCCGTATTTACCGCCGAGGCAATTGGAATATATATGGCATTAAAATATGCTATCTTACAAAAAGGAAAATTCCTTATTTGCTCAGACAGCTTCTCTTCCTTGAACGCCATACACAACATACGAAATAATTCCATAGTAATATCTAAAATTAGAGATATTTGCATTAAATATAAAAGTAAAATAGCTCTTCTCTGAGTGCCAGGTCACGTTGGCATTCTTGGGAACGAATATGCTGACAACGAGGCAAGATTCTTCAAATCTGCCCCCACTTTTCTTAACGAGGTGCAAGACCAAAATGACCTCAGTAAAATGTTAAGCAGACACATATATGAAAAGATAGTTGCGGACTAGATGAAATTTAAACACAAACACACAATCGTAAACAAACTACGTGAAAAGCTACGCTACCCCAACAACATCTCAAGACAGTAGGCAACAATTTTTACTCGATTAAGGATCGGACACACGCAAATCACTCACCAACATCTTCTTGGCGGCGATCCGACACCTTCCTGCCCATTCTGCCCCTACACATTATCCATGGAACATATATTCAATATCTGTCCAACACTTGAGAGTATTAGGCAAAAACACTTTTATTCTAGTAAATATCAAGCATTGTTAAATACACCATCTTTAACAAACATTGTTAACATATGTAATTTTCTAAAAGAGTGTAATTTTTATAATAAAATATAAACTTTGTAATTTTATACTATTAAATCGGAGGCGATGGCCAAAGGAGCTTGTACTCCTTTCTTACTATTAGGTTTAATATTTTGTATATTTTTCCTAATAAAATAATAATATTAATAATAATATTTTTTTCTTCTGTTTTTACGTCGTGCTCAATTACACCACATTACTTTCAGTTTTGCACAAAATCCTATGATTGAGTGAATATTGTGTTTGCCAATGTTTCAATTTTTCGTTAAAATTTATATTCGTTCATAAGGGTTTTTGGCAGATGTTGCAACTATAAATACTGTTCGGTACATCTGCGGCATCCACAATTTGTCGAATATGTTGGAAACACATTAACGTAACATGGAATATTCCCCTCACAGATCCAATACATACCTAATGTCTCCTGAAAGTAAGTGAGGGTGCGAAAATGATTGCACACACGCACCAGCATTCGCAGCCATACATACATACTTTGGCATATACACACTCATGCATATGTATATGTACATGTGTTGGCCGCCGTGAGTACGAAGCACGTGTACACCTTGCCGACCACCTTCACCACAACAGCACGTGTTCGACAACAACATGCTTTTATACTGCGATGCGGTATGGCGGAGCGGGAGAAGCAAATGTACGGAAATGTATGTGAACGTCACATAGCAGTGGTTGAGAAATTATAACAACATTAATCCTACAATAACAGCCGTCGTTGGTACGGAGAGAAGGGGCATGTTAAATTGGTGCTGGCATCGATGAATGCAAACTAAAATGTTAACCGGACTGACCAAATTTCTCTTCCAATACCAAAACAGAGTGATAGGAAAATTCGTGAAACACAACTTTATTGTGAACTTGAAGAGAATGTAACCTAATGCTTTTAACTAGTTTATTTAGCTCCTCGAGTAATTGTTAGAAAGCATGAGATTTAAAAAATTATTAAATTGTCCTTAAAAACGCCGAGTTTCCTGTAAGTGAGTTGTTGGGAGCCAAAGTGACTTAAGAGAGGTGCAGAAAAATGTTTTAGCTTCATTATAGCCGGTTATAGTTCTGTCCTCTTTGAATAGTTGTAAACAAAATCCGTACATATGTATTTAAAAAATATAGAAAAGATGTGCAAGTGTTGAAATATCGAAAAGCAGAAGAGCTTACCTCGCAACGTTACGATCAACCACAACACGTGCGGGATGGGATAGATACCGAGAGTTGAAGAAGGAAGCGAGACGCATTTACAAACAGAAAAAGAAAGAGGCCGAAAGGTGAGTACGAAGTGTTTGATAAGCTGGCCGACAGGGGTAATGCTCGAAAATTCTACGAAAAAATGCGGCGGCTTACAGAAGGTTTCAAGACCAGAGCATACTCTTGTAGAACCCCCAAAGGTGATCTAGTCACCGATGCCCAGAGCATACTTAAATTATGGAGGGAACACTTCTCCAGCCTGCT